AAACGTAAATAGATATAGCTCTTTACCTACAGGTAGTATCACGCATCACGCAATTTCTTAGATGTGTGATGTGTTTCAATTAACCGACTTAACCTCAAATATTCACAAATTCGGTTGGCCAGCCTGAAAGTCACTTTTTCAACACTAATAACCCTAATAATACTTAGAGTTTTTTCCCGTAATTACACGTCATTTGCGCGATCTAGATTTTTTCCTTTTGAAAAATTTTGAAAAAATTCTACTATTGACGAATGAAATTATACGCTTGTTTTGCGTTTCCTCAGTCATTATTCTACATATCATTACGAGTAATTAGAGAGTAATTGCAGTGTTGCGGCCAGTTGTTAAAATCTGACTCACCCTGTATGTTTTTCTTGAAACTTTTAACTCACTCTATATATTGTTTTTTGTAAGAAAAGTAAACTATGACTCACCCTGTATAATTTTTTGTGTTTGCGGTCGGTTGTGCGACAAGAGAATAAAATTTGACTCACCCTGTATGTTTTTTTTTTTGGAACAAGTAACTCAAAACTCACCCTGTATGTAGGTTATTGTAGAAAAAATAAAAAAATGAGTTTTCCTCTATTTTGTTATATTTACTGGCAGTTGTTAGTCTTTTGCAAACGGGAGCGCAAAATCTGATTCACCCTGTATGGAAAAAATAAATTATGACTTACCCTGTATAATATTGTCGCGATTGTGGCCAGTTGTTGGTGTTTTGCGGACGAGACAAAAAATTTGACTCATCCTGTATCATTTATTTGAAAATGTAACTCATAACTTATATATTGTTTTTTGTGGGAAAGTAAACTATGACTCACCCTGTATAATTTTTTGTATTTTTCGGCCAGTTGTGGGACAAGAGAATACAATTTGACTCACCCTGTATGTTTTTTTTTGGGAAAAAAGTAACTCATAACTCACTCTGTATATTGTGTATTGCAGGAAATATAAAAAAATGAGTCTCCCTGTATTTTGTTATATTTGCGGCCAGTTGTTAGCGTTTTGCAAACGGGAGCGCAAAATCTGACTCACCCTGTATAATTTTTTTGGGAAAAAGCTACTCATAATTCACCCTGTGTGAAGAAAATAAATTATGACTCACCCTGTATAATATTGTAGCGATTGTGGCCAGTTGTTGGTGTTTTGCGGACGAGAGAAAAAATTTTGACTCATCCTGTATAATTTTTTTTGAAAATGTAACTCGTAAGTTATATATTATTTTTTGTGGGAAAGTAAACTATGACTCACCCTGTATAATTTTTTGTGTTTGCGGCCGATTGTGGGACAAGAGAATAAAATTTAACTCACCCTGTATGATTTTTTTTTGAAAAAGCTACTCATTATTCACTCTGTATGGAAAAAATAAATTATGACTTACCCTGTATAATATAGTCGCGATTGTGGTCAGTTGTTGGAGTTTTGCGGACGAGAGAGAGAAAAAAATTTGACTCATCCTGTATGATTTTTTTTGAAAATGTAACTCATAACTTTTATATTGTTTTTTAAGGGAAAGTACTAAACTATGACTCACCCTGTATATTTTTTTGTGTCTGTGACCGGTTGTGAGACAAGAGAATAAAATTTGACTCACCTTGTATGTTCTTTTTTTGGAACAAGTAACTCATAACTCATCCTGTATTGTGGGAAAAGTAAATTATGACTCACCCTGTATAATTTTGTCGGGTTTGCGGCCAGTTGTTGGAGTTTTACAGACGTGACTATAAATTTTGAGTCACCCTGTATAATTTTTTTGTGTTTGGGGCTAGTATTTGGTATAATTTTGGTGTATTTATGATAATAAAAGTGTTGAAAGTCTGAAAAAATCCTGAAAAAAATTTAAATTTCGCATGTTTGTTTCAATTTCTGTAGCGAGTGTCATAAAAATATTTTATTTTTGTGGAATGACTGTTATATATCAAGCTACCCTCGACGAATAATTCCCCTCTCATGGGCGCAGCGCGCTCTTATCAGATAAGAATTTTTTAGGGGCTAATTATGAATATGGCGAGCGGGGAAAAATAAGCTAATGTTACCTTTCCGAAAAAATACAAATTCGCATTTTAAACGAGTAGTTTGTATACATTATAGGAGCCGATTCGAGATTCTAATGATACAGTAGCGAGATTATTGTCTGCAATCGATGGAATGTTAAATGGCGCTAACCGTGAGAATGCGCAAAGACGCGATCGAATTTTCAGCACTGGGGGCGGTTTTTCGGGGTTTGGGACAAAATGGGGGCGAAAACGGGGATGATTTTAACGGATTTGCATTCGGACGGCCATTTTACGCCAGATGCACCTTTTCTTTTTAAACTACGTGAAAAAATGACAAAGAAATTGAGAATCTTTGGTTGTGGTGGAATTGATTCTAGCACAATCTGTTATTCCTCTCTAGTTTCACAATTATTGAAAAAAAAATGTTTTTTTTATTCAAATTTGGCTTTTCCGAGCTGTTTTACTACTATTCTGAGCAATTTGTGTAAAATAAACGTTAAAAAATGACAAGACTTTGAAAAATTCTTGTCGAAACTGAAAAAAATCAATTTTGGTAATTTTAAATGGCCATTGTGGGGAAACCATTAGAGTTATCGCAAAGAATCGATTATATTCGTAATCAGGAGGTCAAAATCTATAAGATGACATACGTTTTAAGTCTCTATTTTATTTTTGACTTTTTTGACTCAAAATTTTTGTTGTTTAAATTTTGACGTGGTGGTATTTTTTTGTCGATGTTTTGAACTGTGTTCATGTAAAATGTTCCAAAAAGTCGATTGGCGTCGAAAAAACTTGAAAATTGCTGATGGTTTGGGAGTTATTGACTGATTTAGGAATCGTAAATTTTTTTCAGTGTCAGTGCCTAAATCGACAATTTTCTCGCTAACTGTAATTCACACGACAATGATTTTTTTTTCTGTAATAGAAAATTAAATTTGCTTTCCAATGATACCAAACTTGAGTGGCTGCAACCACTAGTTCCGAAGTTATTGGCGGAAAATTAACAAACTTTAGTTTTTTTTGACAATTTCGACACTTGACACATTTGATAATCAAGTATTTATAGTAAAATTGTCTAAAAAAGCCACATCTTTGAGGTGTTGCACCACAATCGACTCTTTCTAAATCACAAGCTGTTAAATCTCAAAATCAAAAACTCAAATTTTTGAACATCTATTAAACAAATAAATTTTGACACTTGGCAAATTGTATACTTGATACATCGTTATGTAAAATTGTCTAATAAATCCAATTTTGTCAAGCTTTTTGTCCGAAATTCAATTGTTTTTTAATTATTAGCCGTCAAAGCTTAAAGTTGTCAAAAAATATATTTTTGAACTTCTCTTCAAGCAAATAATCTTTGACATTTGACACATGTTTATGTAAAATTATTTAAGAAATCTGAATCTGTCACGTTTTGTGTTCAAAATTTAATTGTTTTTGTAAGTTCCCAAAATAAAACTTGAGCAAATTGGCAATTTTTGAATACCTTTTAAAGAAATTTTGACATTTTTTAAATTTGACAAGTTTGATATTTGTAAAATTGTCCAATGAATCCAATTTTGTCATACTTTTCGTCCTAAATTCAACAGTTTTTAAACCATTATTTTGACACTTGATACCTTCGATATTTGACACATGTAAAATTGTTTAAGGAATCTGAATCTGTCACGCTTTTCGTTCTATATTTAATTGTTTTTGAAGTGCAAGTTGTCAAAGTTAAACTTGTGCAAATTTGCAATTTTTGATCATTTTTGAATAAAATTTTGATATTTTCAAAATCTGACATCTTTGATATTTGTAAAATTGTCCAACAAATTCAATTTTGTCAAGCCTTTTCTCCTAAATCCATCTGTCTTTAAATTATTAGCCATCAAAGCTCAAAGTTGTCAAAAAATAATATTTTTGAGCTTCTCTTCAAGCAAATAATTTTTGTTGATGATTTCGACACTTGACACATTTATTATTTGACACATGTTTTTGTAAAATTGTTTAAGGAATCTGAATCTGTCACGCTTTTCGTTCTACATTCAATTGTTTTTAAAGTGCAAGTTGTCAAAGTTAAATTTATGAAAATTTACGGTTTTTGAACTTTAAAAAAAAAATGTTAGACATTTTCCAAATTTGACAATTTTGATATTTGTAAAATTGTCCAATGAATCTAATTTTGTCAAGCTTTTTGTTCTAATTTCAACTGTTTTTAAATTATTAGCCATCAAAGCTCAAAGTTGTCAAATAATTATATTTTTGAGCTTGACTAATTCGACATTTGACATCTTTGATATTTGACACGTGTTTATGTAAAATTGGTTAAGGAATCTAAATCTGTCACGCTTTTCGTCCTATATTTAATTGTTTTTGAAGTGTAAATTGTCAAACTTAAACTTGTGCAAATTTGCAATTTTTAAAAATCTATTAAAACATTTTTTGACATTTTCAAAATTTGACAATTTTAATGTTTTTAAAATTGTCCAATAAACCGAATTTTGTTGAGTTTTTTCTTCTAAATTCAACTGTTTTTAAAATATTAGCCGGTAAAGCCCAAAGTTATCAAAAACTAATATTTTTGAGCTTCTCTTCTAGCAAATAATTTTTTTTTACAATTTTTGACGTTTTCCAAATTTGCCAACTTAAAAATTTGTAAAATTGTCCAATGAATCCAATTTTGTCACCGTTTGCGTCTTAAATTCAATGGTCTTTAAAATGTTAGCCGGTAAAGCTCAAAGTTGTCAAAAAATAATATTTTTGAGCTTCTCTTCAAGCAAATAATTCTTTTGACAACTTCGACACTTGACACCTTTGATATTTGACACATGTCTGTGTAAAATTGTTTAAGAAATCTGCTTTTTGTTCTATATTCATTTGTTTTTGAAGTACAAGTTGTCAAAGTTAAACAATTTTTGAACAAAATATTGACATTTTCAAAATTTGACAACTTTTTATTTTTTTTTTCGAAAAAATCAAATTTTTTGACACTTTCGACACTTGACACCAGTGGTAGTTGACACACTTTTTTGTAAAATTGTTCAAGGAATCCGAGTTTGTTCTCCATTCACTTGTTTTCAAATTCCAAATTGTCAAAACCGAAAGTTGTCAAAAAAATGTCATTCCTCCGTCGCATCATCTCGCGCTTCGCCCACACGGACATCCGCGTCCCCGACTTCACCCCCTACCGCCGCACCCCCAACCCCTGTTCCCGGTCCTCCGAGAGCGTCCCCGAGCGCCACCTCATCCCCTACATGGTCACCGGCACCGCCGTCACCGTCTCCCTCTACGCCGCCAAAGCCGAAGCCCTCCGCTACGTCCAATTCATGGCCGCCTCCGCCGACGTGCTCGCCCTCGCCAAGATCGAGATCAAGTTGGCCGACATCCCCGAGGGTAAAAACGCCACGTTCAAATGGCGCGGAAAACCCCTTTTCATCAAACATCGCACTCCGGAGGAGATCGCCACGGAGCGAGACGTCGACGTCGCGACGCTCCGGGACCCGGAGCACGACAGCGACCGGGTGAAGGACCCCACATGGTTGGTGGTCATTGGAGTGTGCACCCATCTGGGGTGTGTGCCCATTGCCAACGCCGGGGATTGGGGAGGGTATTATTGTCCCTGTCATGGGTCGCACTACGACTCCTCCGGGAGGATACGCAAGGGGCCGGCGCCCACCAATCTGGAAGTACCAGAGTACCATTTCCCCGACGAGGGGACTCTTGTTGTTGGTTAATTAATATTTTCAAAACTAATAAAAAAATTTAAGCAAATAATTTTTTTTTGGCGAATTTGACACTTGACAATTTTGATATTTGACATATTTTCTTTTAAAATTGTTGAGTGAATTTAATTTTGATAAGGTTTTTGTCCGAAATTCAACTGTTTTTAAACTATAAGCTGTCTAAACTAAAAGTTGGCCGAAAAAACAGATTTTCTAAACGTTTCTTTGAGCAAATCTTTTTTTGACGATTTTGACACTTGACCAATTTTGATATTTGACATATCCTCATTCAAAAGTGTCCAATGAATCCAATTTTGTCAAGCTTTTTGTCCTAAATTTAACTCTTTTTAAACTATAAGCTGTCTAAGCTAAAAGTTATGCAAAAAAACATATTTTTTGAACGTTTCTTTGAGCAAATCAGTTTTTTTTGATGATTTTGACACCTGACAATTTTGGTATTTGATTTATTCTTATTTAAAATTGTCCAGTAAATCCATTTTGTCAAGTTTTTTGTCTCAAATTGTCAAAAAATCGTATTTTTGAACGTGTCTTCAAGCAAGTATCTTTTTTGACAATTTCGACATTTGACAATTTTGATATTTGATATATCCCCGTATAGAATTGTCTCATTAATGCAGTTTTGTTAAGTTTTGGTCCTAAATTCAATGTTTTTAAAGTTTTTTTTTTTGATGTTTTTTTTGAGTGAATCATTTTTTTGATGATTTTGACACTTGACAATTTTGATATTTAATTTATTCTCATTTAAAATTGTCCAATAAATCCAATTTTGTCAAGCTTTTTGTGTTAAATTCAACTTTAACCTTAAACTATAAACTTTCTAAGCTAAAAATTGTTCAAAAAATACATTTTTGAACGTTTTTTTGACAATTTTGATACATGATAATTTTGATATTTCATATATTTTTATGTAAAATTGTCCAATAAATCCACTTTTGTCAGGTTTTTTGTCCTAAAAAACGTATTTTTAATGTCTGTCCAAACAATTTTTTAACAATTTTGACTTTTGACAACTTTGATATTTAAAACAAACATCTTTGTGTAAAATTGTACAGTGAATCTAATTTGTCAAATTTTTTGTCCTAAAATATTAAAGCTAAAAGTTGTTAAAAATAGTATTTATGAACGTTTCTTATAGAAAATAATTTTTTGACGATTTTTTTACTTGACAATTTTGATTTGATTCAACCTTGTGTTAAATTGTTCAAGGAATCCACTTTTGGCAAGATTTTTGCTCTAAATTTAACTGTTTTAAAACTATAGGCTGTCAAAGCCTTTGTCAAAGTTGACAAAAAATCGTATTATTGAACGTGTCTTCAAGCAAATATTTTTTTGACATTTTCCACACTTGAAATTTTTGATATTTAATATAACTTTATGTAAAATTGTCCAATGAATCCAATTTTGTCAGGTTGTTTGTCCAAAAGTTAATTGTTTCCAAACTATATTTATGTCAAAGTTTAATGATGTCAAAAAAATCATAATTTTGAACGGCCGTTCAAGCAAATTATTTTTTTGAGGATTTCGACAATAGACAACTTTGATTGTAAGACATTCTTGTGTAAAATTGTCCACTGAATTTAATTTTCTCAAGTTTTTTGTCCTAAATTCAGCTGTCTTTAAACTGTAGCCTGTTAAAGCTAAAACTTGTCAGAAAATCGTATTTTTTTCAAGCAAATATTTTCTTTGACAATTTCAACATTAGACAATTGTAATATTCAATGTATCATCATGCAAAATTGTCCATTTCCCCGACAAGGAGACGCTAGTTGTTGACTAATTGCTATTATTTTCAAGTAATAAAAATTCTTTCTTTGATTGTGACTCGAGTTTTGTCCATAAAACAATGAACGGAGGGTTTTAATGGCCGCTATATCAAAAGTAATAAAATTAAAATTCTCCTAAAACGAATATAAAGCGTCCCGACGCATGAATCATGGAATTGTTAGTTCGATGCGTCGCCGGTTGGCGCTGTTGCGGGGGTGTGTCTCGATTGATCACACCCTCAAATCCCGGAGAATAAAAAAACACAAAAAAATTATTTTTGTTAATTTTAGCGTTTTTTGTGACATTAACTTTACTACCAACCTTGCAAAAACGTCAAATGAGTGCTTTAAAGTAAATACGCTCACTTGATTCTTTCGATTGAAATTAATTGAAATCGGTTTTTGTAAATTTTTGAAAGAAATGCAGCAAAACTAGTCGATTTGTCTTTAAATCTTAAATTAGTTAACAATTTTAAAGTAAAAAAGTGGCATGTGTAATAAAAAAATTGAGAGTTGAATATTTTTCTTGTTATACATCTTAAAACTCAAAAATGTATGGTGGTACTACTAKTTACTATTCATTAATTTTTGAACGTGTCTTTAAACAAATACCTTTTTTGACAATTTCGACATTTGACAATTTTGATATTTGATATATCCCCGTTTAAAATTGTCTCATAAATGCAATTTTGTCAAGTTT